TTTAGTGCGAACATATTTACGCTAAAATGTAAAATAATTTGTCTCTCAAAGATTGTTTATTAATGTTATTATTTTTAATATAAAATTTTATTTAAACAATGTTCATAACATGTTTTTATTGTACTTATTACTTACAATAACGAAATTGATTGTACGAAATAAGGCGGGCGTTTGATTGTGGTACCCCCGCCCGCCCCCGCGTGTACCCGCCACCGCGCGCCGCCACGCGCCGGCAATCGAGCGAAAATGTAGCAATTTACTCCCGCTAATATGTTTTGACAGCCCTAATTGAACCTTAAAGTACTCTAATTAAGTACACAGAAGGGAAATACTGACGTGTAATTGCGATTTATTGGATTTTGTTTGTGTGACAAGGCTTTTATGTTGGAAATTATAACTTTTTAAAGTTCCCTACGTGTTTTATATTCAAAGAATTCTATATTCCGTTTACATATAACACTGTATTCTGATTCGTATACGGAATGTATTGAGTTTTATAAGACGCACAAACAGTGGTATAGCCCGCTATATCTTTTACACGAATGGGTCGGCTTGACATGTGCAATATCAAATCCACGAAGAACACACTCGTGATGTGAAAGTAAATCTGCGTTTCGTCAGATTAATGTACGTCCCGTAGGCGTAATGTTAGTCTTATTTCCCAACCCTTTTCTTATAAGGAAGGGATAGGAAAGGGAGGTGTTACCTTTCGGTTTTTTTTCGCTATAAAATGCCACATTTTCATAATAAATAACTATTCCTTGAAAAATTACTTTAAAAAAAAATGGGATCTACATTTTTTTAAATTAATGTTGCTGTGAAGTTTTCATTTAAAATATTCATTTAATTAGGGTATAGCTAGCGCATCTTGTTAAATTGCTTGTAATAAACACTGTACGCAAAGGATTTAGGGCCGTCAATAAGGATAAAGGAAGTTTATTTTTTCCACACACTCATTATTAGTAAGTACTTCGTTTAGAATTGCTGGTATCTTGTTTCTTCTTAACGATGTGTCAAAAGACCCCATTCAGTGAACGCAGGAAATGAAAACAAAGGAACGAAAAATCAACGCTCAACGACCATCGGGGAATTTGAGACGCGACACGCGCGCGCCACGCGGCGGGTAGCGGAACTAACCCCTCGAATACAATGACGTCTCAACTTGAGATTTTAAGCTTAAATTCTTTTAATAAGCTAGGTAAAGCAAAGTAGATATCAATATAATGTGCGATAGGAAAGCCATAAAAGTATACAAGGTAAAGGTAGTCCTGGGCAAAGTTATAGCGGACTAGATTTCAGCAAAATTAAATGAAAAAAAAAAATAGTAACCTATGTGTTCTTACATTGAAGGAAAACATGGTGATGCAACCTGCACATATCTGAGAAAAAATTCAAAGATATATGTGAAGTCAACCAACCCGCATTAGGCCAGCGTGGTTGACTATGGCCTAATCACCCTTAACTTGGGTAGGCTCCGAGCCCCTCGGTGGGCACGTATAGTGAGCTGATGATGATGTATTCTTCCAGGCTATGTTCTAAACTTATGCCAAATTCCAGCGAGATCCATGCAGCCTTTCTATAGATCAACATCGATCCATCCATCCATATGAATTTACATTAGTAAGATTTAAAAAAAAATAACAAACAGAACATTAAAATATCCATAACACTAGAAAGAGTGGTAAGATTTTTAGTCTATATTTTCGAGGCCATAAATTTTAATCTGTTTGAAATATATTTAAGCATAAAAATAATATATTTCACCAATTTTTCTATTCTACGTATCAACGCATTTACAATAAAAGTATACTCAAATCGTGACAAAGAAAAAAAAAACACATATATAAGAGAAATTATATATATTTCAATATATTTTCTTCACAACATATTTATCGCACGGCACCAGCTACATTACATTATCGTACGTTAAATAGTCATATAATTTCTAAATCACAATCGTTATCAAACTCACACGAGAATACAAGAGAAAAAAAAAATGGTTGTCTATAAATAAATAAATATTGCTATATCTTTTATACAAAATAAGCGTACACGTAAAAACCTATCGCACGAGCGCTCAGGTGCATTTTGTATAAATACATAGAAGGAAAGTGGATGTGCCGTATCAAAAGGTAAAGAGGAGGACACATTTAGATTGGAAATTCAAATCAAAACGTACGCCATAGTTCTTAAACTTTTAACCAATCCTAGTTAAGGACGATCCGCCACTGATAAAAACTTGAATTACTTATTAACGTTGTTTTAAGAGTAGACGAGTTCTTGCACGGGTCGGCAAACGTAGTGTAAGACGTCCTCAGACTCGTTGGAGCGATGATCTTCGCAGAGCAAGAGCTGGATGAGAGTGGCCGAGGATCGTGCTCAGTGGCGTGCCATGGAAGAGGCCTATGTCCAGCAGTGGACTAATGGATGATGATGATGTTGTTTTAAGATTTAAATATTGTTAGGTAAATATACATTGTATGAAAATATTACTTTAATAAACTTTTGAAGAATTATATTTTTATGGAATATTTTAAAAAATAGATGACGATGTTGTAATCAAGAATAAATACACTTTATTCTTTAAATAAAGAGCTATTCTTGATAACTGAATATTCAGGAATAAAGTCAAAACTGGATAAGAGATAGTCGAAGAGAAATTTCTCGCTTATAGAGGTTTTTCTTTAACCCTAGTTTCTCGCTTATGGAGGTCGCACGTCAAATCGGACAATGACTCTCGCTTATAGATGTTTCTCGCTTATCCATTTCCCCACAGTATTTTTACTATAACAAGGTTAAATTTTAAAATTGAATTCTTTAATTTCGATGTTTTTATTTAGTTTTGATGTACACAAAATGCACCCATAACGTTACAATTATAAAAACACTGACTGGAATTAGCAAGAATTGATTCACGAATACAATTAAAAATATTCACAGATTATATTATAAAAAAAATTACAGATTTTTTTTTAATTTGTGTCTTGTACAGTCAACACAACTTATTACAAGCTCATAGCTTTACTTGCTGACTGTACTTTTTGTAAAAGAAATCGCACACAAGACGAATTAAAAACACATATAGACTTAAAACCAATAGCCTCGACATATGACACGTGTTCACAAGGTGTTGACTGACTAGACCAAAGTTATCTGAAAATATATATGCCGCAACGAGAAAAAAAACTTCATTGAACTTAAATGGCTTTTGTTTTAATTTTCAGATAATGTATGCATCGGTACGAACTCCTTTTCTAAAAGATAGCAGTTTCCCGTGACTCTATCCGCGCAGAATTATTAATAAACCCAGTAAAAATATATCCTATGTCACCCAGGGAAAGTGTTATTTCCCAACAGTGAAAGTTTCAAATCGGTCCAACAGTTTCGGCTTCTATTCAATTAAAAAAAAAACAATGTCAAGTTTAATTTATATTAATAGAGGTTGGTCTAGTTAGTACTCACCTTTATTAAAATACGTATATTTATACGTAGTCATTTTTTTAAAGATAATTTTATTATGATTTCATATATATATCAGTTTTCTATCATCATACAGACAATACATCATACATCTATCATACAATTCGTAATTGAAAATACTAGAGTTTTTAATAAAATAGAGCTTTTTTTTCTTTTAAGATAGCCAAAAAAAAATCTCAAGATACATCTATCACATACATCTTCGCTGTGAAAATAGTTAATTCATAAAAAAAATCTAATAAATTTAATATAAAATAATTAAAGCAAGATACAGGGAAGATATTCTAATGATTCAGATACCTTAAATCAAGACTAGGAGTTATAAATAAAAACTTCTTACAATGGCAACTCTGGGTTACGACTGGCAACACAGACTTTGTTCTGTCAAAGACAATGTAAGAGAAATGTCATTCGAAACCCATAGATATTTTTATAGAGAAAGGGACAAACGAGCGGCGAACACAGAGATGACATCCGAAAAACCAGAAGCCTTAGTTAATTACCGTGGGTTTCTGAGACCTAAAACATATTGTTATCTCTGTATTGTCAAAGATAATGACAGGGATGACGATATGTTTTATATAGAGGTCTTAGAAATATTTCAGTTTTTCTTTATTTTAGATAAAAATTTAATGTAATTTATTAAATACTGCCATGTATTATTTCAATCAAATACAAACCAATGCAAACTACAAATAAACAGTCTTCGTTTAATTTCATATTGGCATAGGTAAAATTAAATCGAGACGAGTGAATATCCAAAATAATATTTACTTATTACCTAAACATTAAAGAGAAAGGTACAGTCGCTCACACTAGCATATTGGTGTCAATTTTAATAATCCTACTAAATACATTTTCTTCAATTTTACATCCACTATTTTATAAAATCATACACGAATACTTATAGACTAGTTTCCAATACAATAGCAAAATATTACGCGCGTAAATGCACCCAGATTGTTAATATTTTTTATAAAACAAAAAAAACACTAACTTAGTTAACTTTGTTCGTTTTGAGATCAGGCCTTTATAAAAATTGAGTTGTACTATTTTTTTTAGCTTAAAATGCGATTTCCAATTATATTTAGCACGTCAAATAATACTGATATTAAAAAAAAATTTTGCACATCCATTTCGAAACTCCACCGTAGCAAATAGACCATAGGTATATTAAAACTAAACTAGGTCTTAGATTACGGTTTTAAATGTCTTCAGTACTATACAAAAGAACTGCACAGTAAGCAATAAACAGATGTGTTGTAGTTTTTAGGATTCCGTACTTCGAAAGGAAAAAGACCAGAACCATTATAGGATCACTTTTTAAAATATATATTTCGCTTTTCCTTTCGTCTGTACCTAAAATGTTACCAGTGTTAATTGTTAATAATTTGCTCGTTATAACATAGATTACTTTTTTTAATATATATTTTTTATTCAGTTTCATAATACAGATTTTATAACAAAGAAACTAACCTTTGTGTACTTTAAACGGTATGAATGCTTAAGTTATTCATTCGTTCCATTTCATCATTCACTTCAGTCTCCGTGTAGTTTTTCATTCATTCATTCATTCGACAATTTCATTCGTTCAAAATATTTGCAGATATTTATATGTTCATATGAAGTTTGAACATAAGAATTTCCAAATATAGTTTTTTTTTTAATTCATAGAGATAACTCAATATAATAGACAGCCATAGTGAAATAGTGAATTTAGCACATAAATATATAATTAATATACATTCTAGGAATACATTTGGTAGCGCGACATGTCTATTACTCTACAACAGCTACTTGCATATTTTTATTGCGATTTCAGCAATTTTTTTTTATAATAAAACATCGATAATTTTAAACATCCACAGTATCTAAGCTTAATCGTTTCAAATGTAGGAATGAAAATTTACATATCCATTATTTAGATTGTTGAAATTAAGGCTCGGCACACACGGGTCACCAACAAAGCTACCGGTGGTCAGTAACGAGTTCACATGATTTTTTTTACTATAGTGAGTTGCCGCCATCAGCCACACGTTTGTGCTGCGTTCTAACATAAGCGAAGAGAGCGCGAAAAATTCAAATATTTACGTAACGCATTTTGGACTTTAACTTAAAATCTAATAAAGTTCTCGTTAATAAAAAAATGGGATACATCTGCAAGCAAAACCTTTCGATTTTTATAATTCAAAATCGGAGCACCGTAGTTACTTTTAAAAGTCGGCAAGACATGTATGTTAAACCGTGTGAACTGGTTGAATGCCACCGGTGACCTGTCTGGACCGAGCTTGAAGCAAAACTTGCTTTAATATCTCATTATATAAATTCAGTGCACATTGACTTTGATTCATCCGTCACGATAATCAGAGTCAGTGTAGCGTGTGACAAATTATTTATCATTTTGGCCATTTATACTTTTGAACGTGACAAAACCATATCGTGTTTGTGGTCATGGTTCGTTTGTGACAGCGCCATCTATATTAAAGTGGTGTCTCCTTGCGCCACTGGAAAGCGTTTGTCTTGACTGCCGGGTTGGCGGAGCTGGCGCTAGCTGCGAGCGCGACTCCAGTACGTCGAATGTTCGCTGCTGCATTGTCTATTACAAAAAAAATATTATTTGTTAGTTAAATAACTAAAAAAGAATGATAGTGGTACATCCAATGACACTGGGAAAGAATGCCAATCGTATGACACCACAGTTTTCGAAACCGGATCTATTAGGTAACAATAAAAAATATTGCCCTCATGGGTCAGTCGGGTAAAAGGAGAAAAGATTTTCAGGACAACCTTGATAATATCAAAAACTATATCTTACTAATATTTTAAATGCGAATGTTTTAATGGATGTTTGTTTGAAGGTATCTCCATAACGGCTGAACGGATCTTGATTAAATTTAGCACATATATAGAACATAGTCTGAACATATATTTTGAAATATTCTATGACTGATCCTCTTAAAGTCTTGTACAAAATTTGTATATTAATCATCAATCGCTTACCAAGTCCATTCCTCACGTTGTTCACAAGCCGCATCGCTGGATTGGTAACTATACCGTTCCTTTTGTTTTTGCTGCAACAAAAATAACTTTGAAAATGCATACTATATGTACTATTATACAAAAGAAAGAAATTGTGCGATATTCCTACATATTACCAACACCAACAGAACGCTGACAAATAGTACTCGCCTGAAAGTCGCAAGAATTTACATTCTTTGTACCATAATGCGACATTAAAGTCGAGAAATCTTATTATTGCATAGAAAAATTAATTGAAAACATAATCCGTAATGTACATGCAATACAAAAGCTGTAAGCAGAAATGTACAATATATAAGCAAAATGATTTCCAATTTACTTATGTCAATAAAATTGCTTGTAATTGCTTATGAAATGCTTTCTTAAAAAATACCGTATTACAAACTTAGGCATATAACTAATGTCCGGCATTCACAGTCTTACAGTGACATGAAAAATGAAAGCAAATATGAGAATCTTCTTGAAGCGATGACTCTAGCGAAATTCCACTGTGTGCAGTCACTGTGATTTTATAAATAAATACATCAGAAAAATGTATAAAGCATTGCGAATAGTCAACCTTCCAAAACCAAACACGCCATCACCATAGTGTAATACCATATAAAAACGTTCTTTGATCAAGTAAATTAAAAAAATAATAAAAAATATAGAAAAAAGTATGTCAGAGTATTTCTGTAAATCCAAATTTACTTGTGCCAACATAAGAACATATCTCTATTTACAATTTAACCCTTCCCAGTGCACTGCAAAGAAAAATGTACAAAAAAAAAGTTTTTTTAAAAAAAGAATAAAATGTATAGCCATTTCATTCTTCTAATAAAAACATAGATAAAACCATAAACCACGTGTAAGAGCCCAACCAAACAAAATCACAGTGACCTACACAGAGTAGTTATATTCAGACTCACGTTTTCTTAAATATTCGTCCTCGCGCTCTGCCGATACTGCCAACTATCCTGGTGTACGCGGCCCGGCCCCGCCTACTCCACACCTCGCTACGTATATCGTACACCACTACTTAGCTATATTATCAACATCTAACAACAGACAATAATCTGTGCGACCTTCTCATGACAGCTGTCAAAGTGACACCTGTCAAAACTTACCACAGTGTATAAAAGCGCAATATGGATAGATGTGAAATTTTTGATGAGATAGAATTAGCACAAATTATTTCTGTTTGTATAAGCTATACACACAACAAGCAGCAATAACGATAATAAATATGTATAATGGTTTGAAACATGCCTAAATATACATACATGCTATACATAACTATACTGGAGTAAATAAAATTACAAATTCAATGTATGCATTGGACACGTGGGAAATTAGAGTACTCAATTGGTTGACGTGCCAACTCAATATGCGGGTAGTCATTTTTTTTTGATAATGTATGCATATCAGACCTGTCCTGTCTGTCTCCTGGTGTCTTGTTGTCACGGCCTAATATAATACGCATATGCGTGTCTCGGTTGAAATGCGTGTCCGTCACCACAGGCTGCACACCGCTCAGGCTCGCCGGCTGGGAACCTAAAAAACATAATATTGGTCATTATTAAAAAAATACATATTGAAAAACTCCTTCTTTTTTATATCTGCTAGAGATAATATAGTGAGGTTTACTAAATTCAATAGGTGTGAAGTCATCATATAAATAGTATATGATAGTAATATATTTTAGTTAGAAAATCTTCCCCTATAAAGCTCTACTAAGCTACTCGAGACCAAATTGCAACTAAATTACGGTACAAATTGCTTTACTCACCGAATACAGCTAGAGGCTGCGCTGCGTGTGTGGCAGATGCGGAAGCGGAGGCGGGGGCAGGGGCGGTGGGGCTGCAGACATCGCTGAGGGGGCTGCGCGGGGGCGAAGCGTACAACGGGGAGGTGTCACGCTCGCAGCCGTGTCGCTCCTCGCGCCGCCGGTCCCGCCCCCTGCCCCGCGCACGCGCATACCCTTGTAGTTCCGCGTCACGCTCGTTCGCTATGTAGCTCCTGTTTATACAAATCAGTTATTTATCATTGGTTTCCGAGACCAAAATCCCTCTTTAAAATTGGATGACAATAAGTTTTATAGAGAAACTTTGGTCTCGGAAACGTACGATAAGTAAGCCATATATTTAACTGTAAATGAATGCCTATGTTGGTGTCGTACAGCGGTCTAGATTACTGCAGTTTACAATTTTATATTTTCCAGTATATTGTATATACTAACCTTAGTTTAGCATCTTTTTCTACCGCGTGATGTTCCGGTATAGGTTCGTCTCGCTCTTTCTCACGTCGACTCCGCCCACATCGCGCCACTTGCTGGGCGAATGACAGCGATAGGTTGGCTCGATTCATCTAAAACATAGGTCTTTATTACATAAATACGGAACTTTCATGACGAATTTCTACAGTAATGCCACCACAATATGACCAACTATTCCTACGCATAGAGAACAAATATAAAAACAATAGCTGTCGCCCTCGACTCCGTTCGCGCGTGATTAAAAAGAAACTTAATATATACCTTGTGTGTTCTTCCAGACTATATTTTACATCTAAGCCAAATTTCAGCAAGATCTGTTCAACTGTTCCGGAGATATCTTCAAACATCCATCTAAACATTTACATTTATAATATTAGTAAGATTAAAAGACAATTACCTTATCATGTATGGGTATATCTTGTTCTGGTTGTTCATGGGAGCGTGCAGAGCCACCCGTCAGGTTGGAAGAAGATTTTGTCGAATTAGAACTGTGTACACTGCGCCGTTTATAGTCCGGAGATCCAGCTGCAACACAATACATAAATTATTACATAGAAAATAATTAAATTAGCGAAAATATACGTAACATACTTCTGACTTGAGGACAAAGTCCACACGCATTTGCAGAAGATGCTACACTGATTTTTTATGCTAGTATTCGGCCTAACTTTTGATGTCTATGAGTTTTAACCGACTTCAAAAAGAAACTATTCTCAATTCGTCCGTATGTTGTTGACACTGACTCTAGAATAAAAATAATTGTAGAATATAAGAGTGGTAGAACCCGCTTTAACATCTTCGCACGAATTGGCCAGGTTCGCCCGGTGAAATACCACGACCACACAGAAAACAGGCGTGAAGTGGAAGCAATTCCGCGTTTCGTCTGATGAGTGTGCGTCCCGGAGGCCTAGTTTAGTCCTCTTTCCCTTTCCACTCTTTTTCTTACAAGAAAAGGATGGGAAGTGGAAGTGGACTTTCCGGATGAGAGGATGCATGGAAAGGGAAAATATTTTTTTTCTGTGCATCTTCTCCTCCGTCGATTAAAGGTAGGCAACGCATATGCAATTGCGTATGTCTATGGGCAATAGTCACTTTGCTATTTCAACGATTTCAGGTGGCCGCTCGCTCGTTTGCCACCTTATGATATAAAAAAATATATAGAGATAGTACAAGAACAAACAGTTTATTTTCTATTTTCGAGGGTATTCATGACATTAATATTTTTACTTATTAGTGCATTTTGTTTAGGAATATTTTTTGAAGTTGATTTTCTTCTTATTACTATTTATTTTTCGGATTTGGGTTGGTATCTGTCAAAATAAACTTAAACATACTTATGTCTACTTGTCACTAATAATAATTACCAGGTCTAGGTCGCGGCAGTTCGTCTAAAGTGGACACAGGTGGCGCTGCAGTCGCTACAGGCACAGCGGGTGCAGATGGCGCCGCCCAGCGCTCCAACAGGCGGCAGATGTTGGCGTGTCCTGCGCGCCACGCAACTTTAGCTGGAGTACGACCTGCAAATACATACATAAGACTTTGATAAAGCCTTGTTTAACAAGCTATCTCAGAAATGAATATAAGCACAACACTATACTTGAACTTATTTCTTGGAATAAGTTAAGTTAAAGTTTATGACAAAAAATTGGTATAATATATGTTACCGCAGTGATCAGCCTGCATGGGATCAGCGCCATGTTGTAGAAGCCACAGCACGCATTCTTCGTGTCCCTCTTGTGCAGCGATACCTGCAATATTACAACGTGAACATCTGCTTAAAAGAATACTATAAAAATGTAACATTGTGTAAATGTGTTCTTAGAAACGCGGCATGTTAGTTGTTAGTATTTGTAACATACCAAGGGGCGTAGCACCCTGCGTGCAAACAGCGGAGGGCGAAGCACCATGCCGCAGTAACGCCTTCAGCGCCGCTGTCCTGCCCCGCCACGCCGCCGCATGCAACGCCGTGCGCGCGCAACGATCACGACCGTCCACACGAGCGCCACCTACGTACATATCATGTTACTATATCTATTTAACAAATATTTACTTTTGTTCTGGCCTGAATCTGATTTAACAAAAACACTTACCGACAGTTATAAGTAAATTCACCATTTCCGTGTGACCTTGCCAGGCGGATACGTGTAGCGGTGTGCGACCCTGCGAGTAAAATTTAACATTTTTAAAAACTGTAGACAGAAACGTCAATTTTAAATATTGTGTTTTGTGCTTTGTACATAGTGTGTACCTCGCTGTCGCTGCAGTGCACGCTGGAGCCGCAAGTCAGCAACTGGCGCGCCATAGCGAGCCGGTTATCCAGCGCCAGCACATACAGCGTACTACGCCGATCCGCGTCCAGTGCGTCCACATCCGCACCACGCTCCTGCAGCGCTGCGACCGTCTCGAAATGGCCTTCCAATGCTGCCAACCTGAAGTACACAACAAATACATATGATTGAACACGAGATGACATACTGTACACGTTCTCGCTCTCACTCTATCTCTTCCTCTGTCTCCGTACCTAAGTGCAGTCTTGCCGTCGTGCGCGTGCTGATCTACAGGCGCAGCCCAGTCGTCGAGTAACAGCGATACGAGGCGGGTGTGCCCCTCCTGCGCTGCCAGCATCAGCGCGCCCTTGCCGTCGTTGTCAGCCTCGTCCACCTTCGCACCCGCTTCAAGCAGCGCCTCGCACACCTCTATGTGACCTATAATATACATTTATTATAAGTAAAGATATCTATTGAAAATATAAATTTAACAAAATAAATCGACTTATAATACCTTCAAAAGCAGCATAATGGAGTGGAGTCCAGCCAGAATTATCTCTATGGTGTTCGTCGAGACCACGGTCAAGCAGCTGTCTGACCACTTCCACATTGCCTAGGGAGAAAATACAACATAAAAGGGGACCCCAATTTTTCACAACCTAGATTATTTTTGCTTAAATATATATGTAATTACGTACCTTGTGCGGCTGCAGTACTGAGCACAGTCCTGCCCTCTGCGTCCATGTTGTCGACGCAAGCACCCCAAAAGAGCAGCAGGCGTACGGTGCGCGCGTGTCCTGCAGACGCGGCCGCCCACAGTGCAGTGCGCCCCGCCATGTCGCTCGCCTCTATGTCCGCCTCAGCTTCCAGTAATAACTCACAGATCTCACTGTAAATAATTTCATTATTAACTAACTATTGCCAGCGACTCCGTCCGCTCGGAATAAAAAAAACATAATTAGTAGCCTGTGTGCTTTCAGCCTATGCTCTATTTGTATGCCAAATTTCAGCCGTTTTGGAGATACCTTCAAACAACCATCCATTATAACAAAAAGTATAGTTAATTAAATTTATAAGAATTTGTTTTTAAATTGTACATGATGTAAAGTCCAGTTATTAACCGCGACACTGAAATTAGTATAACAAATCTACACTAAGGGCCTCTTTGTGCACACTTAACGGTTCAGTAAAGTTTATTATACAATTAAAATTCATTTTTATTGTTTTATGAACATACGTGTGCCCCTCGAAGGCGGCCACCAGTAGTGGCGTGGCGCGGTCTCTGTCCGCCTTGTGTACATCAGCACCCCTCTCTATGAGAAGTGCGGCGCAGGGCGCACCAGCTGCACACAGCGCAGCCACTGCTAATGCTGTGCGACCTATATTAAAACATATTATCTTACCGCGATCCTTCATTCAGAGCATAAATTTAAAACACTAAAAAATCCAGTAATTTAAGTCAAAAAATATTTTGCATAACAAAAAAAAACAATTATTCAGCATTTCAGATAATGTGCAAGAGATTGACTGATTTTAAACAAGAACGCGGAAAGATTTATTTTAAAAAAATATAGAGCATAGATCTTATTATTTACTAGCTGTCGCCCGCGACTCCATCCGCATAAAATAAAAATAATTAGTTCCCGGTAATTATTCGAATTTTTCTCACCTTTTAAACCTTCCCTAGATTTCCACGAGCATTTCAAGACCAAGATAAGATAAATCCATTCTGCAGTTTTCGAGTTTTAGCGTGACTAACGAACAGCAATTGATTTATATATATAAGACTAGCTGTCGCCCGCGACTCCGTCCGCGCGGTATTAAAAATAGATGTTGGCTGATTCTCAGACCTACTCAATATGCTCACAAAATTTCATGAGAATCGGTTAAGCCGTTTCGGAGGAGTATGGGAACGAAAATTGTGACACGAGAATTTTATATATAAGATATATATTGTCTCACCATCAGCATCCGAGTGGTCAACATCAGCTCCAGCGTCAAGCAAGGCGCGTACAATGTCAGCATGTCCCATGTACGCGGCGGCGATGAGCGGCGTGCGGCCCTCCGCATCCGCCAGGTCGGGCCGAGCGCCGCCCGCCAGCAGCCGCGCCACCACCGCCTCGTGACCCGACCACGCCGCCGCCCTGACACAAACAATATACAATACTGACTATACTGAATTCATATTTATAAGGGTTTCTGAGACCAAAATTCATATTTAAAACATATTGTTGTCTCAGGGATAACGATATGTTTTATACAGATTTTGACCTCAGAAACCAACTATTAGACTATTATCAGCTGTTATATAAAGTACATAGCTGATAACTTAATTATTTCCTTCGAAAAAAAATATATATATATATATTATTTTGATTATTTAAACAAATTAATGTTTACCTCAGTGCGGTTCTGTTATCAGCATCAACACAGTCGACGTCACAGCCATGTTCAAGCAGAACTTCTACTACCTGCAACCGATAAATATTACTCTAAAAATCTTTTACCACCTTGATTTCAAAATTAGCCCAAAAACTTTAATTTTATCTCACTGATATCTATAAATGGCTTGGAAATGGTAGCCTTTGCTTATTTCTGACTTAAACGCCGATGTTCAAGTTCTTGACAACAATCAGCGCCACAAAATGGCGGTTATCAAATAGGCACAAAATACCATAGTTATATATAATATATATAGTATAGCATGTCTATATATTGTTAGGCACAACACTAGCCTAACCAAAACGTCGTCGTTTATGTCCCCTCACTAATCAATCTGATACTTGACTTGTAAGGAAAGCGCGCCATTCGCTACAAAGGATTCTAACTAATTACATCTAAAAGTATAGAGGTCTGTGTTATTCCCACCTCGCTATGACCAGCCCAGGCAGCAGCTCGCAGTGGACTCCAGCCGTCAGCATCAGCGGCGGATGCATCAGCACCGGTACGGAGGAGCAGCGCCGCGCACCCCGCGCGCCCGCCCCGCGCCGCAGCGTGCAGCGCTGTGCTACCTGACGCGTCTGTAGCTAGTGCTAGCTGCGGGTACCGCTGTATTGTAAAAATAACGTTAAGTTCACTTAAGTGTCATCATCATATCATCAGCTCATTATAGGTCCTCAATGAGGCTCGGTGCCGACCCCAAGTTGGAGGTGATTAGGTCAATATAGTGCAAGATACTAAATAGAGTTTTTATAATTTTCCCAGATTTTTTATTTCTAAAAATCGAATAGACAAAATCAGTAAAATATATTTTTATAATCTAAATATTATTTATAACATGCCTAGAAGTTTAAAACGCTATTTTAATCCATTTTTTAAACATATACTTTCCCATCGATTTAATCAAGTGACCAAGATCATTAACGCATACTTTTTATAACGAACGAGCAATGGTAATCAAAGCTGACCTTCAGTAGTATAGAGAGTGTGTCATCATCTCCGCGCGTGGCGAGCTCGTGGACAGTGGCGGGGTCCACCACCACCTCCTCCGGCTCCTCCGCGCTCCCCTCCTGCATCTCTTCACCCTCCATCGCCTGCTCACTTGATAACTGCAATATACATACCAAAATTACACCCACTGATATTTACGATAACAATAAAATGAATTTAGCTTGCATTAAAAATCTTTAAATCGAGCCAAATCGGTATGAAGACAATAAATATGCATCAAAATCATCTTACTTCTTACTAATATTATAAAAGCGAAAGTTCAAATGGATAGATGTGTGTTAGAAAGTATCTCCAGAACGACTGCACGGTTTTCACTGAAATTTGGCATAGATTTAGAACATTTTCTGAAAGAACACATAGGCTACTTATTAAGTATCTTTTAAATTCCACTCAGAGTCGCGGACCAAAAACTAGTCAGCCACAAAAGACAAAAAAAATCGTAAATTACTTTTATCAGCAAAGGTGTTTGTTTTCATAATATATTAGCATAAAACTTACTAAATCATGTAAATCCTGTATATCATCAATGTGCTCGCTGTCTGACACGTTGGGTGTGGGCTCTGCACGGCTCAGCTCCAGCAACGCGCGCATCACGCGTCTGTCACGCGGCCACTGCGCCTCACTGCCGCTCACTAGCTCCGGCATTAGCGACTCTAATGCTGACGGCTCTGGATAATAAAAGAAACATGTTTATTTATATGTTTTTAAAACAAATTAAAACAAACATTTTTAACAAAAATCCATCAATTTTAGCCAATATTAGCCTGACAAGCTTTGTATGGAATGTCGTTTTTTAAATTATAACAAAAACTAAATAAATTTAGTTATAGCCTATGTTACAAGACTAGCTGTAGCTCAAGACCACGTCCGCGCGGATTTAAAAAAAAAACATAATAAGTAGCCTATGTCTTCTTCGAGACTATGTTCTACATCTATGCCAAATTTCAGCGAGATCCATGCAGCCGTTCTCGAGATACCTTCAAACAAACATCCATCTATCCATCTAAACATTCGCATTTATAATATAAGTAAGATGGGAAGTAAGAAGTAAGCTAATTAGGTAGCATTCTAACGGTGAAAGTAATTTTAGTAATACAAAATAAGTATTGTAGTTTTTGAGTTTATTCTCACTGTTAAAAGCAATTATATTTTGACACTATTAAAAATAACCATATATATAAAAAATTATTATATTGTACTCACTCCAAGATATTCCCAAATCATAAAATAACATTTCCAAACTATCCATTATTAACAAATATTTGACGCTGCGTCGAAATTATTTAAAAAATCAGAAAACCCAACATTTTTAATTATATTTTCACAATTAGTTTTATAAAAATCAAACTTTTCATATTAAAATACGTCTTCGTACAAAAACATTTAGTTACATACTAATTTAAATTAAATCAATAACTTCATATTTCCCTAATAAATAGTAACAATTAAATTTGATTCTTAGTATCATTATTATAAGGTTGAAATTGCTTTAATTGTGGTCGTAACCACAGGATGTGATAGCATAATTATGGCTAACACACAATCAGAATTAAAAGGAAATATTAGGTCAGTTACATTTCTACGATAAAAATTTAATTAACAATTAGCTGAAATATGCAAATATATTTTTAATCTGTAAAACTGAATCTTTCTCTTTCTTCTCCTTTCTCGCTCTTATTTTCTATACAAAGATTATATTAACCTTATTTGTGACAACAATTTTAATATTTTTGTCAATATTACTAATATTATAAATGCGAATATTTAGATGGATGGATGGATGTAAGAAGGTATCTTCAGAACAGCTGTATGGATCTCTATGAAATTTGTCATACATATAGAACAGTCCGGAAGAACTCATAGGTTACCAATTAAGTTGTTTTTATTCCACGCGGACGGAAACGCGGGCGACAACTAGTTTATACATAAATAAAAGATAGTAATAAGTTAATATTGGTGACAGGTAAATTCATTCAACCAACACGTTCTAGTCATTGACTACTTAGAAAATAATAAGTTGAATGTACGTCAAAAGACAGTCATCATTGCCCCCAATCTTGTCCCATTTAATTTACTCACTGTTGGTAAAACAAAAACTACTTTCTAGTAATAGAAGAAAAAATAGATATTTACTTATATATTACACATTTTTTTATTACTAGATTACTATTAAATTCAAAACAAATACAATGACGAACTGTAATCCATCTAGGTCAGGGAAGACCAACCTTTTAATCATCGTGCCATTTTTCTAAAGCAATGTTTAGTGTTGTCATAGACTTACATCAAATTATTTCGACTTTTTGATTTGGTTTTATTCCTCATATAATACCTATTTCATACTTTTATGTACGTAATTAATTTTGTGATAAGTTATATAACCAAAACATTTCTTCGCGTATTAATAGCACGCGTACCATTGGTTCTTTACCCCTGATGTAGGTACTATTATCAATATTTTGTTTCAATGTATAAGTCGCATTTATAATTATCGTAATGGAAAACGATTCCGATTTACATATGTACATTTATCCGACGTTCTTACGGTGAAGGAAAACGTCGGTGGCTCAGTGGTCAAGCACTTGACTTGCAATCTGCAGGTCCTGGGTTCGAATCCCGCCATGTACTAATGTGATTTTCGATTTACATATGTACATTTATCTAACGTTCTTACGGTGAAGGAAAACATCGTGACGCTGCACATATCTGAGAAGAAATTCAAAGATATGTGTGAAGTCAACCATTTGGCCAGCATGGTTGACTATGGCCTAATCACCCTTCACTTAGGGTAGGCTCCGAGCCCCTCGGTGGGGACACATAGTGAGCTGATGATGATGATGATGTAATAGAAAAACCAATTTACGTTACGACAGGAAATTGTTTTACTTAAAATTCATTAAGGTTCGGGGTAATCCGTTGACGTCTGTTATGAAAATTCCATTTACATTTGTCAAAAGACAAATTTAGATATAAAATTGTGTTTATTTAAATAAATTGAATTATCCTATATTAAATAATTGAATTATAATTGTTATACAGGAAAATAAGGAATATATTTACGTTTGCAAAGTCTTTGTTTACAATGTTTATATATTACTAATATTATAAATGCGAATGTTTATATAGATGTTTGTTAGAATGTATCTCCAGAACGGTTGCATGGATCTCGCTGTAATTTGTCATAGATGTAGAACAAAGTCTGGAAGAACACATAGGCCAATATAAAAGTTTTTTTTAATATCGCGCGGGCGGAGTCGCGGGCGGGAGAAACATTATTTAGAGGAAAGATTTGATCGATTGACTGTACTCCGAAACTACTGAGCAGTCTTGAAAAAATCTTTTACAGTTGGAAGTCTTCACTATCCCTAGGTGATGTAGGCTTTAGTTATTACTAGATTTATTTTTATATTCGCGCAGACAAAGTCGCGGAATATTGCTATTGTTTATATTTTTAGTATATTAATTACCTGATAAGGAATCCTTGCCTTCAGATTCTGGATCCAATTCCTTTTCTTCCGGCTTTATTTCGTTATTCTGAAATTAATACGTTATTTTATTTTGACGGCAATTCGTAAATCAAGATACTTTGCATATATATGCGTTGCCTACCTTTAATAGACGGAGGAAGGAAGGAACATTTCCATGCATCCTCTCATCCGGAAAGTCCACTTCCACTTCCCATCCTTTCCTTATAAGAAAAAGGGTAGGAAGGGAAATAGGACTAAATTAGGCCTCCGGGACGCACACTCATCAGACGAAACGCGGAATTGCTTCCACTTGACGCCTGTCTTCTGTGTGGTCGAGGTATTTCACCGGGCGAGCCGGGACAATTCGTGCGAAGATGTTAAAGCGGGCTCTAACACTGTTTCTAGTTATTAACAAGTATACGTACTTCAGAATCAGTATGTTCAATTTGTTTGATTGTTTCAGTTTCTCTCTTCAAAGCTGATTCTACATCACATCCCGAATCCAACACCCATAGTAAGATCAGCGTGTGGAGATCCAATGATTCGTCTTGATCTCTGGAATTGTTTAATATGTTAACTTTAGGTTTACACTGTCGAAATACTTGTATAAAACATATTATCTTATCTTTATCAATCTACTTAAAAATAGAATCATCAATCTACTAAGAAAAAGAGCGCCAATAGCTTGACGGTTGAGGGTATGGATTTTCCGAACATGGTCTAGAGTTCGAATCCCGCCATTCGACTATTCGTAAACCATATCCTAGCACACGACTAGAGCTTACTTGGAATTGTACAAGAAATATTAGTAAATTAACAAAACCCTAATATTTAAAAAATAAAAAAAATAAAATGACAATTATTCCTTCAATAGAGCAAAGATTGTGTTTGAATATTACTGAGGTCAATCGATACTATTATTTTCTATCAAGTAAATATTTTTTTTTATTTGTAAGTTTCTATATATATTTAATAACTTACTCTTGTTTATTTTTCTTCTGCGCGGCCATATGTTGTTCTAAATGAGTCATATGATATACATAGTTGTGTATCTCCAATGCACTTAATCTGAAATAAAAAAAAATACATAGTAATTAAAATAATCATTGTTTATAAGTGACGAGAAATAGGTTATTTTTTTGAAATTACATATGTACATTACATCCTATGTTCTTACGGTAAAGGATATTGGAACACGTTTGTATAGTGCGGGCTATACGTCTTCTCAATATCATATCTAGAGATATAGATTTATTTAGTTGCAGCGAGTCGAAATTCACAGAGGCTGCGTACAGATGTGTGGAAGACGTTTGAATATTTATGTTTAGTTACGCGTAGATATGTTCTTGCACTGTTTATCTATGTATTTTTTTTTATTTTTTTTATTTTTCATTGTTATGTGTTAATTACTGTTATTATAAAATATGTTATCGTATAAACTGTTATGTAAAGTGTGTTTAGTGTCAAATTGGTTTGGTTGTATACTGTAAGGATGCTATACAGTTTTTAAATAAATAAATAAAATAATGAAAACATCGTGATGCTGCACATATCTGAGAAGAAATACACAGATGTGTGAAGTCAACCCGGACTCGTCAAGAGTTGAATTTGGCATAGTTTCTTCTAAAATGGGTAAGCTCTGAGCTTTGTGTTTGTGGAACATCTCTTGCTAAAATACGAGTCGTTATAATATTTTCTATACAAATTACCTTTTAGCATCAAGCGTGTAGTACATAGCGAGGGCGGCATGTCCGTCAGGCGGGCAGCAGAGATAGCGGCGCGTGCAGTGCTTCACGTCCACCAGCCATGCGGCGAACGAGTGATGGAAGATTGACAGGAATCCAGTCGACCGCTCCATCACCAGGATCCTAAGTACAATATCTAAATCAGTATGGACAAATACACCCAAGTGGTTCTCACCTCGTGGGGTCGAATAACATGGCGGGGGTGTACGCTTAATAAACTTGACAACTCACATATTGAAAAGAAATTTAGCTTCAGGTAATTAAAATGAGATACCTCCTGAGCAGATGCAGTCTTCTATTAAAGTCTTCTCTAGTGACGCTGTACTCCTTGGTGAGCAGGCACTTGTATAGCATCTCCTCGGTGACGCCGCACCGTGCCGCTAGCAGCACGTCCAGCAGGAGACGGACCTGAACATGTTAACAATTAGTTTCCACTGACGAAACATACAAAAGAAATATTATCTCTCTTATTCTTTCAGCAGTGATTTAGTGTAGATTAAGTAAGAGAAATCTACACTAAGTAATTTCCGTAATGTAACATATATTTTACAGTTACCTTAGTGAATCGTCGTCCATGAAACAATCTCTGTGCCAGCCATAGATACAGCCCGTTGAGGGTGCCCGGTATTTCTCTTATCTCTCGCAATGCGATAAATCCATCCGCTACACCATCCAGTACCTATACAAAAATAAATAGATGTAATAATAATTTTACTTGCATTTTAAAATGGATGGATGGATGTTTGTTAGAAGGTATCTCTAGTACGTCATCATGGATCTCGCTGAAATTTGACATAGATGTGGAAAATAATCTGGAAAAACATACTAATTAAGTTTTAAATCCGCTCAGACAGAGTTATAAATGTAAAAAAAAAATGTTAGTTACCTTTTCCAAGTACAGCAGGCAGCCATCGCTCTTAATGCGGAGATGGTCGAGAGCTGCCGCAGCTGCAGCCGCCGCAGCGGAGTCACTCGACACACGGGCTCTGATACAAAAACACATCAAACTATAAGTTTTCACTGCCGAAACATTTACACAAACACATATCGCCATGTTTCCCATTGTATTTTCTATTCTCCATTCACATTTTCCATCCCAAGAAAAATTTTAAAAATGTGTTTCAACACGTGATTCTATTATTCAAATCTTTTCACTTGACACCCAAGTCGGGAGGATCGTAGGAAATATTTATCCCGCCATTTTGTGTAGGTATAAACAAATGTATTCGATAAACAATCAAACAGTAGGATTTGAAAAATAACAATAAAAAAATATAATCAGTGGCCGATTTCTATAAAATTTAAAATTACAATATTTCACCTTAGTTTGGGTTCGGTGTCGAGACGTGCAAGCACGTAGCGCTGCACATCGGCAGACACGTGTGCACGTTGCAGCTCGTCTAGTGTTATCTTACGGAACCCTGCAAATATAACACATTTAACATATCCTTTCAAGTCAAAAAGCACTAAAAATAAAAAGTAAAATAAGAAATTAACAAAGTTATTTGCTAGGACTATGAAATGTGATATTATTTTGACAACGCGACTTCGTACGCTTCAAATAAAAAAAAAACTAATAATAAATATAGCTTATTATATATCACCGGGGGATAGTGTAGCTTCCCAACATTTAAAGTTTTTTTTCAAATCAGTTCAGTAATTTCGGAGTTTATTCGTTGTACAGAAACAATCAATCAAATCTTCCCTCTTTATAATATTAGTACATAAAACATAACAAACCAGTGAACATCTTAGTAAGCCCCTTGCAATGTCGTCGCGCCGTGCAGACGAGCAGTAACCAATGCGGCAGTAAGTGCTGGTGACGAGCTAGCAGAGCCGCAACGCTGTCCGAACTCTCACTTTGAGTTTGACCTAGAACATATAAAGACATTATTTATTATTTACAGTTACTTTTACGTAGATAGGAAGTAAATGAGGTATAGTTGTTTTTAAATATCTTGGAGGTCCAAGGTCATCGCAGTGCCCTCCCCATGCATTCAGTTACGCCTCCAATACACCTAACATTGTATTTTGCGCAGTGATTTATGTGGAGTTAAGGCCAGTCAAGATATGTGAAAACTACTATACAAAAGGAATAAAAATGAATACATGTAGTAGTTCCAAGAATTTTTCTTTTTTTTGATACCAAAAAAAATACAAAACCTTATTTATTTTCATACTCTAACCGTTGGTTTCTGAGATTGAGAGAAAAAATCTCTATATAAATATGTAAACTAAGATTTTAATCTCAGAAACCTACGGTAAGTGAATAAAAACATCAAAAATGTATACAGACCACTTATAGATCCTTCATCGATTGCATCAACAAGTAAAAACAAACATTGTTTCGGCGGATCGATTTCAAGTAATGGGAACAGCAGAGCTTTCTTAAAGCATTCATCTGGATTCTTCTCTAAATGATGTGGCAGTAAAGCTTGCTGGATCTCCGGTTCTGATAACAGCTTATCGTAATATGCGTTAGCTATCAACGTCCTAGGACTGATAGGTAAACTAGGAATAGGAGGAGGCATATCATCACTCTCTGAACGTTTTTTTTCTAATAACTTCTCTATATCAATTTGTTCGTTTGCTTCCTCTTGTGCTAATATATTTTGGTACTCTGGATGTTCGGTTTCTTCTCCTCTAGGCGATGTTGGTGGTTCTTTTTTATCATCTAATCGTTTATGTGGAGAACTTTCATTTGAATTAGGACGTAATTCGCTTTTATTCGGATATCGGAAGTTGGCGACGGGTATTCTGGATTTCGGTGGACTATTTTCGACTTTAGGCTTCTCATTTTCACTGGAACTGTCGTTTTTTTGTTCCGTCGATAGACTTTTTTGTAATAACGATGGCTTCTTCTCAGTCAATGGCTCGGAGCTTTGTCGCAAAAGACGTGAATTCCTCATTTCTTTGGATTGACGCTGAGAAATGTTACGTAGAAATAGATTCTCGTGATTTTCATACAAACGGAAATCGGGATTATTTTCATCATTCATGAAAGGATTTGTAGCTTTCACGCTCGAACGTGGCAAGATTTCTGGCAACTGTAACATGAAATTTTCTTATTTAGAGGTTTCCATTATAAACTTAAATATTAGTTTTTAATACAATGTTGATTATAAGATGGCCTAGCATGAATATTGTGAGAAAATTTTAGTAATGTAATCGACAAAATTCGTATTAAAATTACATATAATATCATATGTCGTCCTTAACAAAAAATGTCACACATCACCAACTAACTATACGTCACCACTGAGAGGTTCGGTGCCTACCCTTTTTTTTTTATAGTCAGGAAATGCATTTACGCACGCCTACGCCGGGCGGTGCAATGGCGTAGGGAGTGTGGGACTCGCCGGCCACAGAAGGTGACCAGAACGGTGCCTACCCTAAGTTAGGAGTGACTTGTTACTAGACTAGACTAAAAAAAAGTGTAATGAACTGACATCATCAGTATGTGTGAGTGCTGCATCATCATGCTGCAGCAGCATGGAGGCGGCGGGCATGGAGTCAGTGTAGGCGTCGCGCTCATGTATGCGGTCTATAGTGCGCGTGCGTCGCCCGCTGCCGCACTCCTCCTCGTCTGTACGCTGCTCAGCTACAAACATACATACATAAATATCACTTACTATAATAAATAAAAATAACTAGAAAATACAATTTTATACAGTATCTGTTACGCGCGATTCCGTTCACACAATATTAAAAAAAAATTAATTAGTAGCTTATGTGTTCTTCCAGGCTATGCTCTACGTGTATGCCTAATTTCAGCAAGATCCATGCAGCCGTTCTGAAGATACCTTCTAACAAACATCCGTCTATCCATCAATCAAAACATTCGTATATATAATATTAGTAAGATTTAAACATAATTTTAGATGAAAATGATTATAGGTGCACAAAAATGGCCTGAACAGCTTCAAGATGATGTTGGTATGGCCGTGCCGTTTTTTTTGTCATATTAGCGGACTTTTGCTCAACTTGCGCACAACTTCTATTCTCTAAACACTTGCACTGATTTGCAGCTAAGCACGAGCCGTTGTAAAGTTTGAAGCTTTTAATACCCTCACTATCAGCAAGCAACGGCTTGGAGCTCTCCTCGCCATCATCTCCTAGTTCACTGAACCGCTGTATTAATCGTTCTTCTTCTGAATTACGTCTGAAAATTAAAAATATTAAACTTAAAATTTTAAATGGAATTTATTGGTTACCTTTACCAAAGTTTCGAATAAAAGGCATTTCTCAGGTTTCACCAACGTCTATATTTTTTTGTAATTCTATCAATATTTAAAACCAATTGCTTTGTATACCAAATATATCGTATTCTAGCAATAATTACCTATTAGTAAGCGGTGTAGAATCATCCCTCGGCGACTGATCACGCTCAGCGTCGGTACGTGGTCGTCGAGATGAGTGACTTAAGATCTGCATAGCGACAGAACGCACAAACTCACCGGGACGAAGACTGTTCTCATTGTCACCCTGAAATACATAAATAACATATTGTTGATAAAGGTAACGCATATGAATTCTCTGGAGATCTCTCTCATCTGCAGATGACGATCAGTCTTAGTTATTTCTTCTTGTGTCGACTTATACAAAAAAAATTGTAGGACATAAGTCCTATATAAAAATTATCTTTCTACCTAACTCAGAGTCATTTCGTTGTTATTTCAGCAATCCCATAACACTGTACATCTTACTAATATTAAAAATACTAATGTTTGGATGGATGGATAGATGGATGTTTGAAGGTATCTCCAGAACGACTACATGGATCTCGCTGAAATTTGGCATATATAAAGAACATAGTCTGGAAGAACACATAGAATACTATCTTTTCGAACGGAGTCGCGGGCGACAGCTAGTTTCCCATAAACCTACAGTAAGGGACTCCTATAAAGACACTCTGTGTATAACAATTTGTCTGTATGTTTAAAGGTCAACGGAGAAAGATATAAAGTAATGCATTATTATCAAACCTGTATAAAATATCGTGCCAACAATCGCCTGTTCAAAGCGCGCTGTTGTCGCGCCTGCGGACCCTGTCCCGGCTGACTCAACTCCTGACATAGAGCTGTCTTACCACTACCAGCGTCTCCTGCGATATCAAATAAAAAAAACATTGAGCCATTATATAATAACACTTTCAATACTACTTGACTTGATTTGTGACAGCACTTTCATATTAAAATAAAAAAATCTAAACTACGGCTCAAGTTCAGCTTTTCTTTCAGGAGTCACGGGCTATCATCATCAGCTCACAATACGTCCCCACTGAGGGGCTCGGAGCCTACCCTAAGTTAGGGGTGATTAGGTCATAGTCACTGACTTCACATATATCTTTGAATTTTATTCTTCTCAGATATTTGCAGGTTACATCAAGATGTTTTCCTTCACCGTAAGAACGTCAGATAAATGTACATTTGTAAATCAAAAAACAGTTTCGGATTCACGGATCACGGATTCGAATCCAGGATCTGCAGATTAATCAAGTCAAGTGCTTTAACGCCTGAGCCACCGACGCTCTCATTAGTGCAGACAAGGCCTAAAGTAAGTCCTTCTTACCTAGTATAAGGGCCCCGCACGTCTTGCTAACAGGCCTCTGTTCAAGACAATGAGCAATCTTCTGAAAAGCCCACTCCCTGCAGAAGAAACGTCGCTTGTCTGTCGTTATAGTCGCCTCAGTCACTTTGTGGGCTGATGAAGACTTACGCACTGGCCGGTTAGAATCTTTATCGTGAGCCCGTGATGCTATCGGACTTAATGGTGTACCTGATAATATAAAGCTATTTTAATCGTTTTATATTTACATATCAGTTATTTACAAAAGCAGTACCTTAGTGTAGATCTGTGGTTCTAAACCTACACTAAGAGTCGCGCTTAGTTATTAAATAGCAACTCTAGGTATGGCATTAAAAGATTCAAATATTATTACTGAGTTATCCTATTATTCAGACAAGTTTATTTTAAAGATAGCACTTTACATTTAGTTTAAATAGAAGCAATTGCGTATAAGCTTGCAATTTACTTTGCTTTGGAACACTATGGAAATGAAACAAGCTCTATTGTGCTCATTTGCTTTGTTTTAAAAGATACGGCAAGTTTTAAGTTTCCGGCTTAAGCTCTAACATTTGTGTCCACGGAACAGAACAGCAATCAAAGGATTTGAATTTACCTATATTCCTACGTTATTTTTTTAATTTCATGATTGTTAAAATAACTGTTAAGTTAATAAAACCTATTGATAATAGAAATCCTTACCATCAAAATCGAAATTGTCCCTTTCTCGATCTTTATCTCTTTCTCTCTCACGTCGGTACTCTCTGCAGCCGTCTCGTTCTCTCTCTGGAAAGCCTCGATGCCTATCTGTAGGTGTTCTATCGTGGCCTCGAGGAGTTGATACTTCGTTTAAAGGAAGAGATCTGTAATTAATTAATTCATTACATTAAAATAAAATTGGATGGATGGATGGATGGATGGATGGATGGATGGATGGATGGATGTATGTATGGATGGATGGATGGATGGATGGATGTATGTATGGATGGATGTATGTATGTATGTATGTATGTATGTATGTATGTATGCTTGAAGGTATCTCCAGAATGGCTGACCGGACCTCGTTGAAATTTGGCAGACATATAGAACATAGTCTAGAAGAACACATAGGTTACTAATTATGTTTTTTTTTAATTACGCAGGGACGGAGTCGCGGGCGACAGCTAGCTAGTATATAAGTAGTATTAATATTTACCTAAGGTTGACTCTATGCTCAGCTTGCCTTACAGCGGAATGTCTGTGCTGCTGTTGCCTCATGCTGACTTGGTTCTGCCTTAAATAAGCCTCAACTTTTCCCTCGCTCGAGTCATTTTTCCGTCTCGACCTGCTAGTTTCTTCCTTCCTTCTCGACTCCCTCTTCTCTAACTTCTCAATTCTATTCTCTAAAGGCGCATTCATCAGCTGTATGTTACCGCCGTGATTGAAATTCAAAGGATCAAAGTCTGCTCTCGCTAGATTCTGTCCCCTCGACTCCCTTGTGGCCATACTTTTAGAATTTTTACCTTTGAACTGAGACTTCGGCACTACTTGACTATAAATCGGCATTTGATTCGACATCTTAGACTAGCTTTGGTTAAGAAAAATATATAATTTCTTATTTCGTTTATATCGAGACCCTATACACTTTTTAAAATATTGGCTTTGGTTTGTTAATTGACACTTAACTAGAGGAACCCGGGGCTGGTTAGGAAACAAATGGAAAATTAATTAAATATAGCCCTAGTTTATTCAGTATGAGGTTCTATGGAGATTCAAGTCATGATACTTGGATAGGGTCCCTTTCCTTTGCTTGAGAGCAGACCTGACAGCTGTGACTTGAGATTTTCTTGGCACATCATGTAGCAGGACACGTAACCTGAAAAAAACAAAATACAATTATTTTTTATGTCATAAAGGGGCAAACGAGCGAGCAGCCACCTGAAATCGCTGAAATAGCGAAGCGACCATTGCCTTTTTTAATCGACGGAGGAGGGGATGTACAGAAAGAGAATATTTTCCCTTTCCGTACATCCCTCATCCGGAAAATCCACTTCCACTTCCCATCCTTCTTTCTAATATTATAAATGCGAATGTTTAGATAAACGGATGTTTGTTTGTATCTCCAGTACGCCTGAACGGATGTCGTTGAAATTTGGCATACACATAGAACATAGTCTATAATTATGTGTTTTGTTAATTCCGCGCGGACGGAGTCGCGGCCGACAGTTAGTTCTTTATAAGAAAAGGGTGGGAAGTAACAGAAGACTTCAATTGTTAGTAGTAAAAGTTTGTGTTTGTAAAAAAAAAAAGAAATAATGACCTGGATTTATGGTGCGTTAAAAGGCAGCGACATACGAGCTTACACTATCAAGGACATCACTTGAATATTCAGATGGGATCTTTGTACGCTTTAGGTCTTTGACATGTTCTGAATACGGCTTAATGGTCTAAGCAAAAAGGCTTTACAACGATCTTAAAACGCTGTGTAAAGTATACCAGCGCTTAGATTTTACGTAAAGATGGATGAAATGAATACAAGACGTTGAAGCATTTTATTTTCATATTAGGAAGAAATTAACCGTGGCTCTTGTCGTATTTATCACCAAAATTTTTAGGGCCACTTAAAAAATATATATTTTCGATATTATCAAGTCAAAGAAAACAATGGATTTACAATAAAAATAAGGTCTTTTTCTCACGAATATTTCTTAAATCTATGTACTTAAGCTTCAAATCCATTCTGAAGCGAATAAACTTGCCAAAAAAAAATGCAAATTAGTTTCGGTAAACTTTCTTGTATTCGTTAAAATTTTCCGCATTCACAGTATGAAGAGCATCTTAAAAGTTTAATTAAATACTTTTCGATCTTTCCATCGTTGACTGAGACGTGCTCTACAAAATTTATATGATAATACCATTACCATAGGGTTGTCAAAAAATCAAAACGTTGTTTTTAGGGTTCCGTTTTTTACCTCATAGGAAAAAAACGGAACCCTTATAGGATCACTTTGTTCTTTACTAGATTAATTATAATTAAACATCTAATAGTAATAGGATTGTTAACTCTGTTGCAATTGTATTAAAAAGATGGGTGGTACTCACTAACAAGTTCCACGTTTTCCTAAAACGTTGTATAACGTTAAAATAAAGTAAACTAGCTGTCGACTCAGAGTCTGTCCGTGCGGAATTAAAAACTTAATTAGTAGCCTGTGTGTTCTTCCAGGCTATATTCAACTTTTATACCAAATTTAAGCGAGATCCATGCAGCCGTTCTGAGGACACCTTCTATTATAAAAAACATCCATCCATCTAAACATTCGCATTTATAATATTAGTAAGATGTTAAATTAGTCGCAATATACATTATTTTATTAATTTTATACAAATCATCCTTCATCGTATAGTTAAATTAATGTTCATGTCGAAAGTTAATTCGACAAAACGGTACAAATGAGCCGGTTAACGTGTATTCGTGATACGTCAACATTACACAACGGGTGCCAACATAATTCATTTAAAACACATCTGTATTACAAATGTGATAGAGTCGTTTTTGTTATTTAACTGAATTCGACAACATAGGTAAGTGAATTTCCTCCTTAATTCTCAATTGCCGGAAGCTCAACGGTTAAGGATCAATGTAAAAAGACTTGCTATTGCAATGTCAACTTTATACCTTGATGATAAAGTTTAAAATAAAACGCTGATGGTCACCCTAAGCATACCCACCCCTAGTTGTGTCTGGATTTTCCGCGAGTGAAAACTTTAAAGGCGTAATTTTGTTTTAGAAGTTCTCACTTAGGGTAGGTCTTAAATACGTTGAATTTGTGTATTTTTTTTATAGGTCGAAATGAAGGTTTTATGTAATGTAAAAGTATAACAGTAATTATATACAATATATAATAAAATATAAACAAAAAATGTACACCTCGTAGTAAAGGATAGGTAAGTGGGATTATATTTTTTTTTAAGTTACAAACTATTACGAACCACGCAAAGATTGTGAAAGTTCATTTAGATACCTTTACGTATATATAATAGTCTTTATGTATTAAATATAATAACATACATAAGTCACAACACGATACACATTTCCTATATCTGGAACAATGTTACTTGACCCCAAAAAGGTTTAGAAGCCCTTATTTTCCTCGCCCCGATAAATGTTGTGTAACGAAACATAAGAAATTTTTCCTCAATTACGTATTTGATGGATGGAGTCCAGAGCTATCGACTTATTGGCATACGACTCGGATATTTACTGTACGACAATAAATCTTATTCCGGATACAAGGACATTGCTTTTGTCAGCTCAATTTGTGATCGATTTTGTGCTAAAGTAATATTATACAGGATGTTGCTTAGACAATAATTGACTTTGGAATCTACCAATTAGTAACGACGAGAAAGCCCATTTGAAAGTACTTTGAAACAGTAAATTGGTCTGTCCTCGGCTGTATTTCCAAACTGCTACGACTTAGGGTCCTTCAAGAAGCGAGCGTATCACCATCTCAAAGGCCGGCAACGCATCTGCGGTTCCTCTGGTATTGCTGATGTCCATGGACGTCGTTAAACACCTCGCTGTTCACGCTGATCGTTTGCCCCCTTTTGTTATAAAAATTAAATTTATTAGGAAATTAGGAATAGGATATTGTTTAGGAAAGATCTTCAAAAGAAACGAAATCTTGCATGTTGCGATTGGCGTTTGTTTTAATTAATGATAATATCGCATCGGTTTATTCTCAATGTGATGTGGCCTGGTCTTAAGTATGTTATTGTACGTACGCATTACCATGATATAAATATTTATAAATGTAACTGTACTAGGTCAGTGTCCGAACGCACATGCTAAGCTACCGACACACATTAGAACCTATGTCGGTCTTGATAAAACCCAAAGAAATTGTCTACACTAATATTATAAAGGGGAAAGATTTGAACTACTAACTAAAAATTTCTTTCACTATTGGAAAGTCACACTAACCCCAGGTGATTTTTATTGGTAAATTTTTTTAATTCCGTGGGGACGAAGTCGCGGGCAACTTCTAGTTTACTAAGTCTAATTAATCATCATCATCAGCTCACTATACGTCCCCACCGAGGTGCTCGGAGTCTACCCTAAGTAAAATGTGATTAGTCCATAGTCAACCACGCTGGCCAAGTGCGAGTTGGTTGACTTCACACATATATTTGAATTATTTCTCAGATATGTACAGGTCAATAAGTCTAATTATTACTTGAATATTTCCATTGTCTCTTTTAAATACGAAAACATTATCTGTATGTCTGTGCCTTCTGTGTACGTCTCACGGCGCACATTAGAACCGGCCTGAGGAATCGTAAGTAAGAAGGCTTATATCGAAATTTTCTAACTTGGCATCTCGTAGTCAAACAAACGGACGTTTCTCAGTACTTCAGATTCGATCGAGATATCCTATAAACTATGTGCCAAATAAACAGTAGCTCAATACTAACACAATGTTAATAGATATTTGAGTTCGCTACTGCAATTCTAAATTTAGATTTCCATTTTACATAGTTGAGGCGTGTTACGCGATGCAAAAATCGTGCGATATTTATTCGAAGCATTTCCATTGCGAAAGATACTTAAATATGAGACAATAACTCTTTGTTATTATAAAAATGCGAAGCATTGTATTTACAATAATAAAATCTTTAAATAGTATTCTTTATTCAAATGATATCTGCATTTATAACCTTTCAAACAATGTTCTTCAAATTCCGTGTTCTTAAAATAATATTGTTATAACGATTAAAAATTATTTAATGTTATAATACTTCTTACAAATATTACAAATGCGAATGTTTAGATAGATGGATGAATCTTTGAAGGTTTCTCCGGAAAGGCTCAACGGATTTTGATGAAATTTGACACACATGTAGAACATAGTCTAGAAGAACGCATAGTGTACTTATTAAGTTTTTGTAAATTCCACGCGAACGGGGTCGCGGGCGACAGCTAGTTTCCAATATATTACCATCTTTTCACAATATAACTCGAAATTAAACGATATCTACTACATTATACCTATTATAAAATACACAATAAACTTATTTAAAAGTGCAGTATATGATAAAATTCTCCCAGACTACTAGTTTAGTAATTTATAAGATGATATAAGATCATGTAGGTTAAGAGGCTGCACGTGTTGTGTAATATGAACGTTGACTGCACGTGTTCAAGTCTTACGAATATAATAAAAGGGCAATAGCTACAATACTTAACACGTTAGCTGCCAGAATGATTTTTCGATTTTTTTTTTTAAGTTGTCCAAAAACATTTGAACGGGTCCTGACGGGTCACACTATATACAACAATTCGATTAAAAGCCACAGCGAGGTTTTGAATGGAAGTATGGCTTGTCGGACACGTAGTCCGACACGGCCTGATTGAAATATTAGCTTGTCGGACATATAGTCCGACATGGCAGCTAACGTGTTTAAGAATATAACTAATACGACCCATACAATGAAAAGAGTTACATCTCTTGAAATCTAACTCTTTTCATCAGATAAGTCTGAGCCTAAAGAAGGAATCGTAAAAATTTGCAAGATATACTTTAACATTGCTAACCGTGGGTTTCTCAGACCTAAATCTCTGTATAAAACATACCATCCCTGTTATTATCTTTGAAAAAACAGAGACAACGATATGTTTTAAACTTAGATTTCTCAGCGACCCACAGTGATACCGCTAAGTTGCGATGATGATGACATTTGCAAGCTATTCGAATGACATAATAGTTTTAACAAGCAAATCAACAGCCGCTATGATATTCAGCCTAAATATAACATCCGCTACAAACAATAACAAAACAATTCACAGTACAATACAATATGTAAACAATACTACAC